ATTATTAAATAAATATCTCACACGGAAAATTTAAAGTGAACAAAACATTTTATTTGTTAGCTGCAGGTGATGAAGACCAGTTCAGTTCTTCATGTTGGATCCAGCTCAGTTTGTACAATCTGAACCCAGATCATTTTATTTAGATAAAAAAAATAAGCCCGGACTGTTTTAAAACTTTGAAGCCAGCAGTTGTTGAACCTCTGGTTCCCTCTGTTGGACTCTTCCTGTTTTGAACCTGATCAAGTTTCGTTCTTTCATGAAAACTCGTCAATTTATTCCTTGTTCACTCCAAACTTCAGCTGTTGCTCCAGTTTAAGTCGGTGGTCCTCCTAATTCTGTTTCTTGGAGCCATTCTTTGTCTCTGCTGGCTTTTAAAAAAATGTTCCGGGTTTTTATTTTAATTTCAGGACCTTTTCTGGTTGCCAGGACCAGGAGTCCTTTAGGAGACCAAAACCTGGTCCTAATGTTGTGGAATTACATTTGTGGGTTAGGGTTAAGAATAACTGGTCATTCATTTTGAAGTTTGACTACAGAAATATGCGTAAGCCAATAAACAGTCCTATTAAGTATAGAAGTACAACACGTGTGAGGAGATACATTTGTATTAATCTCTGAACTGATTTAGTAATGTCGAATATTTGCTTATTTATATAAATTTTGTTGCATTACCTGTTTAACTTAGATAGAAGCAGCGTCAAATATTTAATTATACCCTGCTCTATTTGCTGTGGGTGATTCATGATTCATAAAGTGGTTTTAAAAGTAAATAGTGACCAATATATTTATATTTATAATGATGTAACACCCTCTAGTCCTCTTGATGGTCCTAATGTGGTGTTGCTATATTTTGTTTACCTCTAATGGTAATAATTAACCTGAAAGTAAAACTATTATCAGCCAAAGTTGGAGAGAACAGGCAAACATCCAGATGTGTATGTTCGGTTAATTGGAGGCTCAGGGTCTAACACTGAACAGGACTGGAGAGGTACAGATAAAATGTGCTTCTGTTGCACACAACTTTTCTATCTTAACTCAAACCTGGTCCTTCTGTCTCAGATGTGTGTTAGGAGTGAATCAGCCGTGCATGCTGGGATTTCTACACAGACATGGACTTCGCATCAGTGGAAAACTCTGAAAGACATAAACTAAGATAATGAAGGCTCAATAAATATTTGACGAGTCTACAATAAAATAAAGCTTTTAGTAGAAAACAGAGCAGCTGCAGACACTGAGCGGAGAATCGTGTTTTAGATCCTTTTATTATGAACATATATCTTTACAAGCAGAAATTGAAAGCAAAATGACATTTGTGTGGCTTAAATTTACAATTCAGTTTTTACTTTCTGACTACAACTTCATTTATTAATTATTTCAACCTCAACTTTTACTTTATTCTTCATGAAAGGTTGAAAAATAGAACCAGATAGAAGTCATCATAAAATCCACTTGAAGTGCAAAGATTTGAAATAAATAAAGCTCAGAGTTCGTATCATCACCAATCAGAGGTTCTTTGCACACAATCTGTTGCTGCTTCATGTCTGATGGATTAACTTTGCTCTAGATCAGGACTTCCATCTGCAAAGACAAGAAGAAAGAAGAGAGGAGATCCATGTTTCAGACACTTTATCAGTCAGTGCTGCACATCCGGTTTAAAGAGCAGCAGAGACGTCAGTCCCGTAACACTGTTCCATTTAAAACACAACCTCTGCATTGATAAAGATCTGTTTCTGAACATTTGGCTGATAAATAGACATAATGCTGTGACGAAGTGTGATGAGATGAATGTGAGAAGATATTTTCTATTGAAATAAGAGAACGAGCAATGACAGATCAGACCTGATGGATGGCCAGCTTGATGGAGACTCGCTGACCAAACAGCTGTAGTCCTGCCTTATTTTGTATAAACTTAGTGCTTCACTGAATAAAACAGCCACAAAGAAGCTGCGGGTTGATGTACCGTATTTTCCAGCATCCAAGTCACAGTTTTTTGCATAAATTAGCATGCCTGCGACTCACTTCACCACTTGCTCTTGTTGAGATCGGATGCTTTTCCTCTCCCCTCCCTCTCTGCTGTACTTTGCAGCTCTGTCTGTCTGTGAAACTGCTTCTGAGCCTCTCTTGCATCTTCTGAACCATAATTATAGACTTGTTTTGATCAGTTGGTCCCTCAACTCAATTGATAACATTTCTTGGAAGAGAAGACAGGCTTTAGGCGAGCCAATTTGCCCTGTTGGCATGCACATAGCTGGATATCTCATCGACTTGAAGACTTGATGATGTGTCTATCTCTGCTGCCATTTGTGGATTTTGAGGACGCATATTTAATTGGATTTAAAATAACTGGTTCCTGCTTTTTGGATTCGGCTGGTTGCTGGTTTTATCAACAATCAAGGAAGTCGTCGGCAGCAAATTTGGACCCGATCATGCTGCTTGCCTTTATGATGGCTTGGTTCGTGTCTCGAGTACCCAGACTCAAATGCTTTGGGCAGAGTGGATCAGATCTTGGGGATTTTACTCAGTCATGTTCCATTGGTGTGGCCATGTAATTTGGACATTTCGGAACTGTTTGGACCAATACAGACTCAAGGTAGATGTCATTAAGTTCTACCTGTCCCCAAAACAACTGTGTGTTTATCTGACTTTGGCTCCCTTGGCTGGCCTTGAAGTCCATCTTATCTGAATTTGCCTGGAGTACATGTGATCTGATGCTCACCACCCCCTCCCTGAAGAATTTCCAACTAATAACCAGATGAAACCAGCTGAATAAACATTGTGTCATCATTTCAGGACTCTTGGATTCTCACAGGCGTTATCATTGACATTCCCCGACATCCCTCAAGAATGTTTACAGATCTCGCCGGAGGACATTAACTGATTATTACATCTTTATCAGAACTCTTACAGTGACTTCGAGAGCGTCTACGGACATTGCTCACCGCTCTCGTCGTCTCCCCTCTCTGCAGAATGTCTATGTCACTATGTGCTTGTTTGTGTGAGATGTTTTTCAATATCAGAGTTTTATTTTCTCAGGCTGGAAGAAAAACTCTGAAAGGAATTTTTTCGCCTCTAATTCCTACATGTGTCCCGTTTCACTACTTTTTGTCTGTCTAAACAGGTCTCACTTGTAAATGAGTCTTCTAGGCTCAATGTGACTTATCTGTCTAAATAAAGATTGAATGAATGAATTAATTATACAGCGAAGCAACGTATTTATGTTTTGTTTCTCATATTTATAATCCAATTTTTGACTGAGATCTGATGATTTCATTCATTTCGACATGGAAAGTATTGAACACTACCATTTTCAGCCACTAGAGGGCTCTCGAGTAATAAGGCAAGGCAAGTGTCACATTAATAGGTAAAAGCGGATATTAATGAGAGACTTGACTTGCCATACCAAGCCACCTTCATTTCGCTCCGGAACTCATGGAGCAAACGTCAAATCAGCTGCATGTCGCCGCGCCGCCCAGGCAAAATGCAGTTGATTTGACTATTAAAGTGCATTAATTAAGGAAAAGTTAGACTGAGACACACCTTTACTATAATTTCGAGCAAACAAATAATTGTTTTTAGGTGGTTATCTTGTTAAATTTCCAAGAAATGCACAGCGAGTCGCCAGCCTGCCATTTTTTACATCTTCTCGTGTGAAAAAATGGCAGGTTGGCTTTCTTGGACTGTGAGGTCTCAGTTTCTGATAGAGGACATTTGCAAACTGAGGTGTACCACAAACCCACCCACACAGACCAGTATTTGCAGTTTGACTCCCATCACCCTCTGGAGCACAAGTTAGGAGTCATCAGGACTCTGTACCACAGAGCAGACAGCATCTCCACTAACTCAGGAGCCAGGCAGAAGGAGAAATCCCACACAAGACAGGCTCTAGAGCAATGTGGATATCCTAACTGGGCCTTCCTGAAAGCAGAGAAGAAACCCAAACAGGACTCCAGTCAGCCATCAGGAGAAAATGAGGAACCCAGACCCAGACCAGTGGTCATTCCATATGTTGAGGGAGTATCAGAGAAACTGAGACGTTTATTTTCTAAACATAACGTCCCAGTGGCTTTTAAACCCCAAAATACATTAAAGACTGGTTCATCCCAAAGACCCAGTCCCCCGGCACAAACAGAGTAATGTTGTGTATGCTGTTCAGGTCAGGAGGGTGATCAGTCTTACATCGGGGAAACTAAACAGCCACTGGCCAAAAGGATGGCCCAGCACAGAAGATCAACATCATCAGGCCAGGACTCTGCGGTCTACACTCATCTCCAGGCCAGCGGTCACTCTTTCAGGGGTGAAGATGTTCACATCCTGGACAGAGAGGAACGATGGTTTGAGAGAGGAGTAAAGGAGGCCATCTTTGTGAAAAGAAACCGTCCATCATTAAACAGGGGTGGAGGCCTCCGGGTTCAACTGCCCCCCTCTTACAATGCTGTGATTGCTAGTATCACTCAGCCCTCTGTGAGTAGTAAACAGCCATCAGTGTGCTAATGATCCATTGTTAGGCTGATGGTCCTTCTTGAGCATGTGAGCAGCTGGTTCTGGTTGTCAGCAGCAAACTGGTTGATCCACTCTGAGAAGGTGCTATTTAAGAGACTGAGCTGAATACAGCACCTCAGACTGAGGAAGTCTCTCGGATGAGAGACGAAACGTTTCTACATTTTTTTTTGTTTGTTGTTGATTTGTTTTTAGAATGTCCAGAGGACCAGATTGAACTTTTTTTAGATTTCAAATGAATACTTGTTCTTTCTTAGCAGCCAAGTACCGAATGATCTACTGCCTGATGGTTGGGGAACCCTTGATTTAGATCATAAAAATCAGACATCTTAAAACACCAAGTATGTTGTTTGATTAAACCGTGACGAGCAGATGTCTTTAAAAGGAGACGTCCTCTTTTGATAAAATAAGGAAGGATGACTGCTGGTTTTTACAGCCCACAGACTTCAACACATGCTGCTTGTTATATTTTCAGTTGATGGACTGAAACGTTTCCAGTCTGAAAGATGTCGGCAGCTCTGTGTGTGACCGTGCTGACAGTCAACATGTTCCTGAGTGTCTTCTGTCCTCCAGGTCAGCTGTTTCCTCACTTTATGTTAAACTGTTTTATTTAAGATCTACAAAGAAACACTTTAGCTGCTCTAAAGTTACTTTTGTTAATTCCGTTTTCAAACAGATTTTCTCCACATTTATTTAATTATTAATCTGATTTTACAGGAGTTTTGGCTGATGATTGTGAAGGTGTCACATCCAGTCACTTCATCAGTGCACCAAAGAAGATGGAAGCTCTGAGTGGAACTTGTTTGCTGATCCCATGCGGCTTTACTCCTAAAGATCTGCTCACCAGTAGCGAAGTCTCTGCAGGTTGGATTAAACGTGGAGATGATGTTTATGACATCAGTAATACAGTAAAAACCTTTACAGTAAACATGATGGGAAACCTGACAGAGAAAAACTGCACCTCTGTGTTTTCTGGTCTAAACACGAATCATTCAGGGGAATATTTCTTCAGAGTCGAGATGAGATGGTTCAAGGCAACAGCTGTCTGTGATCCTCTTCATGTGACAGTTAAAGGTGAGACATGTTTCATTAAGCCTGAACATACTGTCAGCTTCTCCAACACTGTTGTACCAAATAAAACCAAAAGTCATCCCACGTTAAACATTTGCTGATTTTGTGTATAATTTTTTACACTGGCTTTACAGCAAGAATCAGTAATTCAGCCGAAGATACTGGTTGTAGTGATGTTTTGATATTTATCAAACCGCAGCTGAAGCTGAGGGGGAGAGATAATGTTTCTTCCTCGTGTCTCTTTGTGTTTGTTTGTAGCACTGTTAGCAAAATTTCTTAAAAAATAACATCGGACAGATTTTAATGGAACTTTCAGACAATAATCATCGAATGAACATTTGCAGCTTGTTAAATTTTGGAGTCAACCCACTTCAAGATGGCTGCCACAGCCAGTCAACCTTATCATAAAAAATATTTAATTACAGATTCTGACGTAAAATGTGTGTGGTAGTAGCTATAAGTGATTGAAAACAAAGAATCCAAGTGCTAACAGATCATTTGAGATATCTCTTTGCTCATAAAGTTGTTTTCAAAGTTTTACCAAAACGACTCTAACTCCATTATTTCTCAACATGATCTTAAAACTCTTGCACGAAAGGCAGCGAATATATATTTTTTTTTTAGAGAATTCTGTGCCGTCATAGAAAAGCACAAGTTTAGTCAAAAAACGAACTTGTAAATGTTTAAATATCTTTATTAGAAAATGCAGTGAGTGAGCGTGCACACAGACAGCCGAGGCAGCAGTCACTGTAATGCTGTGCAGAGTGAATCAGGAAGTTCGCATAGGCACTTGAATTAACATTTTATTTCCCCATTTTTTTTAACAAATTTATTAATTTTTTTGCAATTCCTTCTTGAATCACCACCTTTTCGAGTGGGAGGAGTTTATGCACCTGAATGATCCTATAAAATATGCTGTCGGGGGCAATTAGGGCAGATTGGTCCTGTAGGTGACAGTCTAGACAAGAGCGGAAAAAGCAGAAGATAATGGATGGATGATTTTTTATTTTTTTTTACAGAGAAGATATTGTTAATCTGTTCTATGAAATAAAGATAAACTAACATACATGTATTTTCTTTAGCACCAGTAAAGCAGAAAGCAAAGCTCTGTGCAACCTCAAACTCAGCCTGTCAGGGATGTTGATGGTTTTAAACTCTTTATTTGTTCTGCATCCCTGGATTGTATGTTTAATTTTCCATGACCAATAAAAGGTTTAACATAAACTTAAATTATGTTTTATTTCAGTTAAACGGGTGTTAGTAAAGCTTACAGTCAGTTTATCAATCACGTGTAGTTAAAATAAATTTGTCAGTGTTCAGATGAAAAATCTTTATGACCAGCTGCTACACCAGCTCAGTCTCACGTTTCTTCAGTTTGTGAAACTATAAAAAAAATAGTTTATTCATTTTCTCTGTTGTAAAATATGTGTTTCATGGGAAATCCCAGATTCTGCCTGGAGTCCCAGCATTGAAGTCTCAGGTGATCTGAAGGAGGAGGAGTCTGTCTCCATCACCTGCTCAGCTCGGACTCCCTGTCCACACTCACCTCCTGAACTCACCTGGAGTCTCCAACAAGACTCTCAGAGAACAGAGAAGAACACAGATGGAACGTTTACAACTAAAATCCAGGAGAACATCACTCTGTCAGACACACATGATGGAGACAACATCACATGTTCTGTCAGATATCCTGTGGATGGAGGGAAACGTAACAAGACAGCAGAAACAAGTCTGACTCTCAGTGTTTCCTGTAAGTGATCCTGTGGACCCGTCACGGTTCAGCTGGTTCTGATGAATGAAGTTAATGTGTGACCCGTTCTCCTCAGATGCTCCTAAAGACACCTCAGCATCCATCAGTCCATCAGGTGTGGTGTCAGCAGGTAGCTGGGTGGAGCTGAGCTGCTCCAGCAGAGCCAAGCCTCCTGCCAGAACCTTCACCTGGTTCAGGAACAGCAAACCTGGACCTGTTCTTGTTTATGTGGGTCAGGTTTACAAGTTCAACGTCTCTGAGGGAGGAGAGTTTTACTGTGTGGCTCTAAATGATCTGGGTAACCAGACGTCACCTGTGGTTCTTCTTAACTTAGAAGGTAAATATTTTATTGAATTGTGTTAAATTTGAAAATAGATCATCGATCAATATAAGTTTTGCTGTAATAATTTACATTTTCTCTGTTTCTTTGAGGTTCTTTGAGGAATAACCCCTTGTGGTTGGCAGCAGTTCTCTTTGGGCTCGTCGTGCTCATCTGCTCGATTCTTACAGTTTGGTGAGTAGCAGGAATGAAAGCTTCAAATGAAACGTAGTTCATCTCTGTGATGTTTCAGCTGAACATCAAATCAAGGTGAGAACATGAAGAACACGATCTCTTCTGATGACGCATTGAGCCGCGTTGATCATTTTGACGCTCTGTGAAATGATGTGCACTAGATAACTTTTTGCATCAAACTTTATCTACAAAAACAAAAACGTTTCCCGCTTCTTCCTTTTCGGGTCCTGGGTGTCATTAGTGCCCATATCCAGCAATCACTGTGTGAGAGGCAGGGGACACCCTGGACATGTCTCCAGTCCATCACAGGGACACTAGAGACAAACGAGACAAAGTCTCACTCGCACCTAGGGACAATTTAGAGTTACCATTCAATTCAATTCAATTCAATTCAAAAATACTTTATTAATCCCAAAGGGATATTAAGTGTTGTCGTAGCTCATCATCCTGTTTTATTCAAGAGTTGTTATAGATGCTGATAGTCGTGGGCAGGAAGGATCTCCTGCAGCGAATCTGAAGAATCTGGCCACAGATACTGATCCATCCACCTGGACCCAGCTTGCTGTCAGATCTGGAGGGCCTCTTGGTCCTCCTGGGCAGCAGGACTGCCTGAATGCCGGACAGAATTCCTCCCTGAGTGATGGTCACTCCTCCCAGCAATCTGCCGAGCTCCTCGTCACCACGGACAGACAGCTGAAGGTGCCGGGGGATGATCCCAGTCCTCCCATTGTCATGAGCCGAGTTTCCCACCAGCTCCAGGATCTCAGCAGTCAGATACTCAAGCACCGCCGCCAGGTTGATGGGAATTCGTCCATGGCACCTCCTTTTCAACTCATTTGGAATTTGGGGCTGTAGTTTAGATATTTGAGCTTTTGAGATGTTAATCATCTGCTTCTGGTTGTTAAAATCACATTGTTGCCATGGTTACGTATCATAACAAATGCCCCAAAGTAAAAAAGTTTCAGTAAAAATCCTTCCAGCTGCACAGCATCTGATACCAGAGGAAACAATAATCCAAAAAAAGTGATTTGCATCCAGAAAAAAAAGAGAAATTAAGGTTCTCAAAAACAATAACTCAGAATGAATGTGACAGAGCTGCTCCAACATGCAGCCACCCCGAGCGGCACAATTCTAGAATCAATTCTAGAACCTAACTTGCATGTTTTTGGTCTGGGAGAGGAAACCGGAGTACCCAGCGAAAACCCATGCAGCACGGAGAGAACATGTAAACTCCACCCAGAAAGGCCCCCGGCTGGTATTCGATCCAGCAACCTTCTAGCTGAGAGGCAGCTGCAACTGCGACACCCTTAATTATATTTCTGGTTTTAATTTATAGGTTATTTATCCACTAATGTTTGATTTACATCAGTCTGTCTTTGTAAAACACAGATTTCTTCTTTCTGATGTCTTGCAGGTTCTTCAAGTCCAAACGTCGAACTCCACCGGAGACTCAGGTGGTTAAACGTTGAGCCTCTGTGTTCAGAGCTTTAATCTGTAGGTTTGTGACATCATCAACATGACCAGTAAGAGTTTTGTTTCTCCTCAGAGTCAAAGAGCTGAGGAGGTTTCTGCCTGGAAACCAGCCAGTGAAGCAGAGGAAGAACTCCATTATGGAGACGTGAGCTTCTTCAAAATTCGACCTGAGGCTTCCTCTGCCTCAGAGCAGAATGGAGGACAGCAGGAGACGGTGTACGCACAGGTCAAACTGTCCACATCTGGAAACTGTTCCACTCAGACTGCAGGAGGTCCCGAGGAGCTCTACGCTCAAATCAAGAAATAATAGCTTCACATTTAAATTTGTATCCAGAAGAAGATATTTCCTGTTCAAATATCAACATTAACTTTAGCTTTAAAAAATACTTTTAGCTGTTGCTGCTTAAACATAGTAATATGTTTTACTGTCTTTATTGCTTTAACACCAGTCCTCTTGTTTTTAGTTCAGTGATGGTCTCTTTATGATAAAATAAAAATAATATTTTGTCCTGTATGTGGTGTGTGTCTGTTTCTAAATGTCAGAAGGTGTCAGTGTGTAGGATTCTGGTACCTTCTGCACTAACAACTCATATTTCTAATCAGGTTCAGTACATATACTTTATAAGAAATGTCCTCACATCATATATTGGTCTGAACAAAAATGTAAATCTTTAAATAACTTTACATGATCTGAAGGAAATGTAAATTAAAGAACTGGGTGGAGGAAATGTCTCTGTCCTTTTGTTGGAATGAACATAAAGTTTTTACTTGTAGAAAACCTGGAACATTAGGCTACAAATTCTTAAAGACAGTAATTGAGTTTAAACAATAATTTATTTAGTTTTTCAGCAGACATCCTTGATTTGTTGAAATTTAACCACCACACTTAGTCGTGAGCTACCAGCACAACAACAACAACAACAAAAACACAATAAATTCACCAAATAATAAATAAATCGCACAATAAATAAATAACAGTCAGCCTCACCTTCATGCACATGATGTGGTCCACGACCTTCAGCATCTATGGTGCAGTTCACAGCAATTGAGATGAGTCAGCTCCGAGTCCGAGGCCATGGTTCTCAACAGGAATCATGTAAAACATGTCCTCTGCATTCCGGCAGTTTTAGTCTCAGAGGAGTTCAGGGATCTGGGAGTCTTGTTCATTCATTCAACCTTTATTTTTACATGCTAGTCTCATTGAGCCACAGGGACTCATTTACAAGAGGGACCTGTTTCAGACAGAACATATAAAGTACAGACAACAAACCGTAAACAATGACAACAATAAATGACAATAAAAATGCAGTTAAAATAAGAGTAGTGTACAAAACAATAAATCAGGGTGCCGTAAAACAGGGTGAAATACTAAAATCAAGAACATATTTGCTTTGATTTTTCTATTGACATTATGAAATGTTAGAAATCCCTTAAAGAAATCAAGGTGGACAACTTCAGTTCCTGTTGCAAGGTGTTCCAGGTGCAGGAGCAAAACAAGAAACAGCCTTTTTGCCAAGTTCAGTCTGCACTGAGGGAACACTGCAGGTAATGATGGCCAGAGAGCGCACGCTGTAACTGCACTGACTGCGTGAAATGCGGGAGGAGATATAAGCAGGTAGCAGACCAAGGGGGGATTAATAGATGAAAATGAACCAGTGTGAGAGCCTTTGTGTACATTAATGATGCCCAACTGACCAAGGAGTACAGAGTGCAGTGATGGGTGTGGTAGTTACAACCAGTTATGAATCTTAGCGCACCATGATAGACAGCATCCAACATCTGTAAGGAGCTGGCAGGAGCATTCATGTAAATAATGTCACCATAGTCAGTGGCCGGTAGGAAGTTTTAAAAGAGTGATTTGAATCTACCAAAATTCCCAAGTATTTGTAAGAATCTATAAACTCAATAGGAACACCATGCATGGATGAGATAGGAGGAGGAGTTGCTGGCACTGACTTTCTGTTGGAAAACAACATCCCTTTGAAAAATGTTGGATTGTATACCTGGATTATTGCGCATGGACTTTGTTGTTAACATCCCTTTGGTTTTGTCAGCAGCTTCCTTAGAAAGAGAACTTATTAATTGGCTTTTATGTAAGTGAATGATCCTGTAAAGTGCCCTGAGACAACTTTGTTGTGATTTGGTGCTATATAAATAAACTGAATTGAATTGAAAATGTAGCACCAGCTTGAGATAGAATAAGTCTGACTGAATGATGTCAAATGCAGACTAGAAGCTGGAAAACGTTGTCAACTGTGTTAGTTTGGCAATAAACAACAGTATCATTGGTATAGAGATGCAAGGATGCGTCAGGAATGTTTAGATGTACATTATCTATATAAATTGTAAAAAGAAAGGGACCTTAAACTGAGCCTTGTGGCACACCATTGGTGACCGTTAGATAGCTAGACAAAGTACCGTTATGTCGAACACATTTTTCACAAGTGATGGATGGACTGATCAAGGCCTCATTGTCAGTAATGAGGGTGTTGCTTGGGTTGGGTATAGTAAAGAAAGAGTCAAAAGGTGAAACTCCATTTACTGGTCTGACTATGTTCCAAACTTCACTTTCATTCATGAGTTTAAGGATCTGATGTCTGAATCATGACTGAAAGAAACAAGATCCCAAATAGAAGCAGCAGAATTTAGCTTTTTTTGTAGGGTGGCCAGGCTCAGCCATAGAGACTGAGTGAGGAGCCTCCATCCTGGAGGGAGCTTGGAGTAGATGGACGAAGATGGGCATGGAAGAGGTGATCCAGAATCTTCATCAGGTCAGATGTTAAGGCCACTGGTTTACAGTCCATGAGGTGCAGGGGCTTTAGAATGGTGGCCTAACATTGTAATACAAAAACATAAAAGCAAACATCTGAAGGAAAATTCCAATTCCTCTTTAGGTGCATTTACACCAGCCCTGTTGTCCCGAACTCTAGCCCATTTGCCTAGGAAGTCCGGTTTGTTTGGGGAGGTGTGAACTCGCCATCAAACTCTGTCACGGAACGAAAAGGCGAACTCTGGCCCGGGCTAAAATCTAGGTCTCGGTCCGGTAGAAGAAAACTCGAGTGCGGTTCGAGTACAGTGTGAATGTAAACAGAACGGGCACTGCTCCACAAGCAGGAAGATGACTACAACGCAGGGCAAAAAAACACACATTTCTCTTACCTCATATGAAGCCGTCAGCTGCCTTGTGTGAAAAACAGCATTCTCCATGGTCTTCTGCATCATCTTCCCCTCATGCTGAGTCCATTGTTGAAAAATGACAAAATAGAACTCCTAAAACCGATAAAACTTGACGCCACTCCGTTTTTGTTTTTATTTCCAGAAGAAGAAGAAGAAGAAGATGTGTCTTCAGA